GTTGGTTGGGGCCCTGTCCTTGGGCAGTACCATGCTTGCTCTCAGCAGGTAACTGGAACGTCAGGAGATGACTGAGGCATTCACCAGGATTTCTAGGCCTTGCTGTGCCCTCTGGTCTCCTCTCACCCACAGTCTTCCTTTGCTAAAGGGTGGCAAGCTAGTGGCAGGGGGTCCCTGAGTTGCTCTATACTCCTAGTGTCTCCCTGACTAGGGAGGTGGGATGCACGCCCCACCAGCACCCCCAAATTTATACACTCTTGCTCTTCCAGCAAGTAGAGGGGAAGCAGAGGACTCTTCCTCTTCCCTCCCCCAAATGCCCAGCTTTTCCTTGTCAGGGGAGGAGAGAAAGAGAGTTCTCATACACAAACGCTTCTACCCTCACGCGCATGCCTCACGCACTCAGGTCCCAGCAGACTTCCTCACAAATCAGTGCTCACTCATCCCCGCAAAGCCTTGGCTCTACTCCTGGAAGGCACCTGTGGCCTTCAATATCCCACATTTACCCAGAGCCACGCACTCAACCCCATTACCAATTCCTGGCCACATAGGCACCTCCCTGACCTAGAGCCTGACAGTGGAGAGAGACCACAGACAAATGCCAGAGTGCTTCACAATGTTGGCCCAACAATGGCTAACTTCAAGGGAGACACAATTGCTGCTTAAGCAACAGGCCTGTGTACTGAAAGGAGGGGCAGCCATGCTGGACTTGAAGGGGAGGACTTGCAAAGGCCTTTAAAGTGCTAATGAGATGCCTTGATGATGAGAGAAGAAGATAGCAGCAAGAGGCCCTCCCAACAGATACACAACCACCCCACTGCTCCTGAAGATGAAAGAAGCTTTATTGACAGAGGAGGGTGAAACCCAGGCACCAATCTGCCCCTAATGAGGGGATGATGATTCCAGCTGTGAATACAGATGTTAATAGGGCTCTACCAGCAGACTGCATTCAGTCTGGCTGGCCTAAAGGGATGTCTTGATTGGCTCTGTAAATACAGCATCTAGTCAGGTGACAGCATGCCCCCCCACGCAGCCATGCCTGATGTGGAATGCAGTAGGTATTTACTAGCATGCTGCCACACTACACGGTCAGTCAGGGTGGGAAGAAAGGAAAGCACCTCCCTGAAATGCACTGGTGGGGTGAACTTGCAGAGGGAAAAATAACCCATGCCCCAGGTTGGGATGTGGCTGGGACATGGGAACCAATGTGCATGATCTTCCTAAAATTGCTACAGAGGCTCTGGTTTTAGGAGGTGTTCAGGAGTCAGCTTTGTAGCTTACAGAAGAAAGGGTAAGTAATGTGCTGCAACACATGCACAAATACCCTGCAGAAGTCCCCCTCCTCACATTCTCTCTGAACAGCCTGCCTGTGACCATGTCCAGGGAGGAGAAGCAGAGACTAGGTGCTCTGCAAAGCACTACCTTCTCTTCTCCATGGCCTGCTGGAGGTCAGGGGATGGACCGTGGTCCCAGTGCAGTGCGCTCCCCCAGTATGCACACAGATGTAACAGCGCTGACAGCAGCCCCAAGGCTATGCTGAGGACACAGAATTTCCTTTTGAAGCAGTCATAGCACAGGGGCACCCATTGAGCTATGCCCTTGTCCTGTTGGAAAAGGATGCGTGTGAAGTTTTCAGGCAAGGCTCTAAACGGATCCAGCACTGAAGGACTTACCACCTTCCCCTGGGGGCAGAGGCAGCCGCTGGTGGGCACAGGGTGTTCTCTGCTCCGTGCCCTCAGACCCCTCGTGCAATGGGTGCCCCTGGAGAACGTCCATCTATGCCCAGCCCTGGTGCACGTACCCTGGTGGCCCACATTGCCACTCCTCTGCACACAGGAACGTGTGCACCTGGCAGGCAGCCCAGCTCGCCATGTGCTAGCTTCCCCAGAGCTAGTGCCACCTTCTGTCCTTAGTGCCTTTGCTCCTCCTTCAGCAGGAAGCTGAAGTGCCAGGGCAGTTGGTGGTGGCAGAGAGAGTTGGGTAGGGTGTGCATTCTGCACATTTGCTTTGCACAGTGACCTCAGCCTATTTCATGCACGGGGCAAGAGCAAAGGCTCTCAGCATTTATAATAAATAACTTGCCATCGATTTTTCCAACGCAGCTCCTTTCAATAGAAACGGCATGTTCAGAGCTGCTGGAGTGTGTTGTACCCCCCTGCTGCCCTTGCTCTCTGCTTGAGTACTGGCCCAGGGTCTGCCCCTCCTCCTCCCATGGGGTCTTTTCATCCTGATGCATTATTCAGCTTTGCTCTCCTTTGCTGTGCAAGGTTGGGGCCCCAGGGGGCTCTGTTATCAAGTAATAATAAAACTGCACCTTCTGGGCTTCATACACATTGGTCTGAGTTATTCTTCAAGCCCCATTTGCCCCTCTCCCAGAGCTAAATGGAGGTGAGAAGAAGAGAAGCCTGGAAGCTGCTGAGGGAGGGAGGGTCAGAGCTGGGATTAGAAAATGGAAGTTACCAGCTCCCAGGCTTGTCTGCAGGGCAAATCTTTCTTACCAGCCTTCCTGTTCACATTGAGAGTGTTTCCCCAAGCCCATCACCCCCATGTGCTACGTGTCACAGTCCCTAGCTCTCTGCTCTGTGACGATTTTCTCAGGGTGGAAGTGCTGATGCTGCCTTGAGGTCTGTGGGTTCCTAGTACTGGTCCCAGGGGAAGCAAGCAGCAGTGATGTGTCCAGTAAAGAATCGCACAGATCTCACCTTTGGGGCTTACAACAGGGTGGAAGATCTGACACTTCTCTCCTTCTGAGCCATGTGCCCTGGGTCTTTGGTTATGCAGAGTCTGTAATGGCTGAGTAACACTCTTTTCCCTGCCCATCCCTGCAATAATGGTTGAGCAGGTTGCCTCCACTGTCCCCAGCCCACCTCTAGTCCTGCCAGAGCAGGGAGAGAAAGACCCTGAAGGTGGAAATACTCATCTCCCACATCAATAAGGGCTCTTTGCAAAGACCCATTCACCCAGCAGGAAAATGTGACCAGCTCTGAAATGGAGGTGTTTAGCAGAGCCCAGTCACCCTAGATACCAGTTTGGCCCAAGAAGCGAAAACCAATCTAGAAGACAGAACAATTTGCTAGGGAGCGTTTTAGCGAATCTATGTGTAGTAATCCTAAAGGGAATCTGGCTGGGGCTCACCATGTAATTTGGGAAGCCGAGCTTCCCCAACAGCTGAAAGGGTCTGAATTAGGCATAGGATTAATTGTTGAGCTGTGGGATCTCCCAGCATCTCAGCCTCTGAATTCACCCACATCCATCCACAGCACAGTGTCCCTTGGCATCACCCAGTACTCCTAGCACAGGAGGTCACTGCAGCACCTTAGGATTCCCCTATGTGTCTCCCATTCAAATCCTGACCTTTCCTGTACCTGCATACTGAGATCGGCCAGACCAAGCTGCAGGCAGAAGGAGCACTGAAACTCTCTGTCTGGCTTGTTTTTTGTGCTGCTGCAGGGAGCAGAGAACAAGGGATGCCAGAGCCTCCTGTCCAACAGCCAACCTTCCCAGGTGACTGTCATGCCAACCTTTTTGCATCACAGGCACTGCAGGTCAGCAGACAGACAGTGCAGTTTTGCCATCTAGTGGCCAACCTGCGCATGTATAACAAAGCTTTGCACTGCATTCACTGCTGACATGGGACACAAAAATTCCAGCTTCCAGCTACTGAAAGCAAGAACCTCACAGCCCTTTTACATCAGAGCACCAGTGTTTCTTACCTTCTGTGATCAGAGGAGGTATAATGAGGTGCAAAGAGAACTTATGAAGGAGCAAAGCCAATAGGATGAATATTCCCTGCTGGACAGCAGCAATAGGATAGCATAGCCTCAGGAACCCTAGGGAGTCAATCCACTAGGAAGTTGATGATGATAAACTTCACTGGGAGTGTCTGTGCTGTGCTAGCAGTATGACAATTTACCTCCACCCCCGTATGCACACACTCCGACCCAGTGCTGGAGTCAAAAGCATGGCATGCCCCCTTTCTCCAGAGTACTACTAAGGCTTTGTTGTTCCAGAGCATGTTTTGTTCAGCATTACCAAGAGCACTTTAAAAACAACACTGCCTGAATGGATTTTACAGTAGTTTATTCCCCGTGGATCAAGTGAGTTTGTTCTGTGAGTATATTTATACAGATGACACATAAGATATCATTCCATGTTAAATATTAATAACAGTAATACCCTGCTCTTACACAGCACTCTTCATCCATAGATCCAAAAGTGCTTTACTAAGGAGGTCAGTAGCATTATCACAGTTTTAAAGATGGGGAAACTGAGACACAGATGGGGGATCTGTTATGCCCAAGGTCACAAGATGAGCTGGGAATAAATCCAAAATGTCTTTTGAGTCCCAGGCCAGTGCTCAGTCCATTAGGTCACACTGCTAATACTCTTTAGAAAGATTCAGGTGCTGCTATGTTGTCTATATAAAGTGCTAGTCAAAGGGGTTGGCTCTGGAGTCCTGGAGACTGAGCAAGGACTGCAAAGGCAGCTGCTGGGCAGATTTCCTCTGGCCCAGCTCCAGTCTCAGCTCTGTGTTCACCTCCATGGCTTGCTTGATCCTTGGTCTCTCTGTTGAGGTGGCCATAAGAGCAGGAGCTACAGCCAGTTGTGGCGATGCTTTGAGGAGGTGTGCTTCAGTCTCTTGGTCATGCTCTAACCTCACAGACACCACTCAGTGAGGACAAACAGATTTTCTTCCCATTCAGAGGTCTCCCTCTGTCAGGTAAGTCACCCTTGCTTGAAGCTCATCTGCCTTCTGGCTTGGTTCTGTCTCCTTTTCCTGTGTTACGCTTTTCTCCTTGTTATTCATTTCAGTAAGTCCCAGCATGACAGAAGTCCACACAACCCCTCTCCTACTGCTACCCTCCCCCCTCCCAAAGAATCATAGAAAATGAGGGTTGGGAGGGACCTCAGGAGGTCACATCTAGTCCAACCCCCTGCTCAAAGCAGGACCAGCCCCAACTAGATCAAGCTGGGCCTCAAAAACCTCCAAATATGGAGATGCCACCACCTCTCTGGGTAACCCGTTCCAGTGCTTCACCACCCTCCTAGTGAGAAAGTTTTTCCTAATATCCAATTTCTTAACATCCCTTCATGGCTTCTAAGAAAACATGAGGACACACGCAACAATGCAACATCACACACACCCACTCAGCCCCTCATAGGCAACAACATATAAGACATCCTCACACCCACCCATACACACTCACGCTCATGAAGTCACTGGGCAAAATGCTGTGGCAGCCGCTTTTGTCCTTCCCTTCCCCTAGGTGAATTTCAGCCCTGTGGGCCATTCCCTATCCCTGCCGTTTCACTCCCCGGGTCCCCTCCCTGCATGGCAAGCCTCGCTGGGGGGAGCCAGGTCAGCAGGGGGATGGACAGCTCAGTTCTGAATCTGAGCATCCCTACTGCCTTTATGTTTGCTGAGTTGGTGGAGACCAAGCAGGCAAGCTCCACCCCAGTGGCTCCCATGGAGGGACCATCACCAGGTAACTGGAAGGAACATAGCCCCTCTGTCCATTAACTTCCACCAGGCTCCAGTCCTTACTGCCTTTCTTATCGTGAGGTTCCAGCACTGCCACCGGCTGCCCTGCCTGAAGGCTGACCTCCTGGGGGCTCCTGGCTGCGAACGAGAAACCGGCGACCACCTGGACAGGACAAGAAGATACAGATAGAAAGCCCTCAGTGAAGAGAAGGCTCAAAGGGTGGAATGTGCCGTGCCTGAGGAGAAGGGGAGGATGACTGCTATGTAAGCCTGCAAGAACCTCACCCCTCTCGGCCAGATGATTTCAGGGAGATAAATGCTGTACCTGGGACATGAGCGTGTCTGTTGTGAGCCAAGAGCTCGGTGCTCAGTGCTGTACCCAGGATTTGCTCAGGCGTACTGTAACATTACAGACAGTATTTGTGGTCATACATGCAAAGGTTTAACCACATCTCACCCTTTTGAGCATTCTGTGCTCCCCATAGGGCCTTTCCTTTCTTTACACCAGGTGAGAGTGCTGCACGTAGAAGTATTTGTACATCAGTGGAGGAGATAAAAAGAGTCCTTTCTTCTGCAGCAGCAGGCAGTGACTACTGACACAAAGAGAATACCAACTAGCTGAGCCTTGAGCCAATCTGTTATCAGATCCCAGCTCCTCTGGAAGCTGTAATGCACAGGCACATATGCACAGGTACTGGTGTATAGTTGTACATGCTGTGTGTGCTTGCATGTGCACTTGGGCAGATACATGCACAGAAGCAGAGGCTATGAATCTATTAATGAATAAACAGGCTGCTGCTATGTCTCCAACACCCACCTGGGAAGCCGGTGTGACAATGGGAACCGGAGGCCTGGGAGCTTCGGAAAAGGTGTAAGAGTGTCGTCTTCTCTCAGCCCTGTCATCTGGGGTCAGCGTCTGCATCCTGGGCTTTTGGCTTTGGACCAGGTGATAGGGTTGGAGTTTTCCAGCAGGGACGTATCCTCGGGGACCTGCAGGGCACACAAACTACATCAGAAAGAAAATCACCATCGGTCCAGATCATAGGGGAAGCATAGGCTACTTGCTACTGATGAAACACTTCTCTTTTGTGAGTGTGGTTAGGGAAGCAAGAAAAGGGTAGCTGGCCGTGGCCTGGCATAACACAGCTCTGCCAATGCACCTCTGCCCTGACCTGCATCTTTGAGTCATTGCACCCAAGCTTAACTTGCTCCCTGGAAGACACCCAGGAAGCACCAGGAGGTCCAGAGATTCTGTTGACAGGTAGAACCCTTCTTCCCAGGTCATGGTGCATCACAAATGCTAGTGGGGAAAAGCTGAGCATCACATACAGGGTCATTTAATTGCAGACCTAGGACTGCTGGGAAAAACCAGGAGTGGATTTGAGTCTGGCAAAAACAGGGGAGAGTCACTGCTCATTCCTGTTTCATCCACAAAGTCCAGGAACAGAGAGATGCACCCATCTGCTCTCTTCCTCAGCACCTTGGGATCTGCCCAGTGAGCTTCAGCAGCAATGCTTTCAAGCAAACCACCCAGCATACACACACACCCCTCAGGCCAACTCCTCTTAACCTTAGGGTTGCTTATTATTATGAGGGAGCTCTCAGTTGACACAGAAGCAGAGTGATACACCAGAGTGGGATGCAGGGCAAGCACCCAGAGAAGAAGGGTTGCCCCACTAAGAAAAGAAATGCATCACAGACTCAGAGCAGCACCTGCTTCCCCATGGACAGAAGCTCTGTTGGGACATTTAATCCACCCATAACACTGAACATTGGTAGAACACAGGTCTCCTGTTTGTTGCTCAAAACTGACCTAGGGAGGGGAGGGGCTCTCAATGTCCCAGAGAAGAAGGAGGTCCCTGCAGTCCTCACATACCTCCAGCATCCACCAGCCATCTGTTAGTGTTGCCCTTAGTGTCCATGCCATGCAAGAGAGCCACAATCTGTCCCCTCTGCAAGGTCAGGTCCAGGTCTTTGCTGCCACTGATGTTGCTTATCACTTGGTAGAGCTTGTCTGGACTGTGTTTGCTCACAAGTGAAAGGACCCTCTGCTCCTCCTCAGGGCTCAGAGACTAATAGAGAATGAGATACAAGCAGAACTTAGTCAAAAATGCTTTCCTCAGCTTGAGATCACACCTCCCCGGGTATTTTTCCCCATCTGTGGTATTATTACATCACTGTGAGTGGTCAGGGTAGGAACTCCTGCGGGCTGCTGTTAAACTTCTGATCTGCCTCAGGGTACCAAGCCAGGTCTGCAGAGCCAGAGACACCAGGCTTTTTTTGGTGGAAGGTTTCTGATTCAACTTTGACTCCATTGTCAAGGAGTCAAAGCCACTATCACAGCTAATGCAAAGGAACTGCAACCAGCTGTCTCTGGCTTCACTTCCTTTCCAATAGGGGTGGTTCATGTGAACTTGTGAACCACTGAGTATCTACTCAGACATCCAATCTCATCAGCTACGTGATGAGGTGAAGGGGAAAGGGAGGCAGGGGGAGACCTTTTTCCAAGCTCCTACCTGTACCACAGGGCTTGGCATGACTGTCTCAAACTTCTGGCAGAAGGCATGAACCTGGGTGCCAGACTGGCATAATGTGTCTTCCACCATCTTCCAGAAAGTAGGGAGGGGAAGGTGGCTGTGTGGCAGCTGTGGAAAGAGACCCTGGGGTGAGAGAGAGCAGCAATGGGGAAAGAGCACACAGAAAGAAACACACCAAAAGAGTGTAAATGAAAGGAGGGAAGAAGGAAAGGGAGAAGGAAGGGCCTTAGAAGAACAGGCCCTGAAAGAACCTCTGTCCATCAACTGTATCTCTTCTCAGACTTTCAGTGTCTGAGAGCGTGGGATACTCTAGGGCCTTACAGGAGCACCTGTCCTGCCAGAGCTTTTTTGGAACGAATGACTTTCTGGTTTGCTCAGGTGAACTCATCAGGGTGGGAGCTGTCTTCTTGTTCGTTTTGCACAGCACCCACCAGCAGTGAGGACTTGTCCACCACTGACACCCCCAAGCCTCACTGCAGTAGAAATCATGCTTCTCCTGAGTGGCTCTGTGCAACTGCCCATGAGGTGGCAGGGTTACCCTGAGCAGTAATGAGGCCACCACTCTAGTCCTCCCAGGAAAGAGGGAAGACAAAACTGCGCAAATGAAGTGATCCTCTGTGCCTTGGGTTATAGAGACTGGGAGACAGGGAGGCAGCCCACTACCTAGAGAGAAACTAGCTGGTGCCTTGCATCATGCAAGCCTGGGTAAGGCAGCTGTACACTTATGGCCGTGAGAACATCATGCTTGCGTGCCAGCTCTACACAGCTGGAGAACGTCCATTACCTGGGCCAACTCCCTTGTAGTCTCTTCCAGCACCTGCTTGGCCAACTCCCTTTGAAGGGCTACAAGCGAGTGCAGTATCTGCCCCACCAACTGCATGGCCACCTGATTGAACCTGGGGAGCTCAGACATGAGCAGGGCATTGATGGCAAGGTACGTGTTCATAGCAGCTTCCTCATCATAGGTCACGCTGCCTGTCTCACTCTTCCGCTCCTGGATCTCCTCATAGTCAAGCAGCTTGTCTAGGCGCTTCTTGATCAGCTGTTGTGGTCCTCTCAGAGCATCTGTCAGGCTGCAGAGTGGTTGGTAGACCACCTGGTTCAGCCGTCTCCTCTGTGGGACAAGAACCCAAAGGCACTGCTGTGAAATCCTCAAGAGGCAACCCGGTGTACCAGCCTGAGCATCTAGAATAACCTGGGGGGACACCCTCTGCTTTTCAGGTCTGTCAAGTCTTACAGCAGCTGAGCTCCTTTCTCCTGCATAGGAGGCACCTGTGAGACAAGGGAAATCCCCAAGTCTGCCAAAGGCTGAGGCACAAAATGGGCAATGCTTTTGGGGAAACAAATCAGATAGTCAGGTTTTCCCACAATCTTACATTCTGATAGAGTCCTGCACTTCACTGCTCACCGTGAGCTGGTAAAAACAGCTCTATGTCACAACACCTGGGCAAATGAAACATACTCACAAATTCTGGGAAGATGGTGAGGTGCAGGTTTCCTGCAAGGCGGCGATATTGCTGGACAGCTCCCTCTTCAATTTCCAGCTCACATTCATGTGGTTTGGAAATGAGGAATGCCTAAAGTGGACAAGAAATGGAGCTGAGAAATTGTACGTGTGCGCCCAAGCCTGGGATATCCCTAGAGCCATATCAGCCTCTCCTGAGCAACCTGAAGGCCACCTGGTTTGAAGGACAAGGGCCACAGAGATGCTTGCAAAGGAGTCACTTCCAGGACAGAGGGACCCTTACAGCCACTTGCAAATCCCATCCATTTGGTATGGGTCCCCCAAACCTTCAGTCCTCTCTGGTTGTAAGCTAAAAGCTACAGCAGCTGTCCAACCCTCATAACAACTGCCCAGGGCACTCAGGCTAGTGTTCCCTAGGAAAACATATACCGATGTGCTGAACCCGGCAGCACCAAGTATTCCCACAATGTTGCCCTGGGGCATGACAGAAAGCTGATCTATGCTCAGGAGTCTTTCTCCCAAGTGCACAAAGCAGCGTGCAGAACCACCCCCCACCAAGACACACGAGTGTACAGTCCAGTGCTTGCCAGCAGCCTAGCCAGAACCAGAGCCTCCCTCCTACTTTGAGACCCTGCTGCCAAGTTTCTAGTGCTACAGCACCTTCCCCTTTCCCGGTGCAATGGGAGATGCTTTGACACTGTCTTGAGTGCTGTGTCTGGAGCTGTGGCAGTGTGGCGGTCGGAGTCTTTCCTCACTACAGAGTTGTCCTAGGATCCCTGCCAGGGCAGGGCACCTGTGACCAGTGGGAGGGGAGAGAAGCTGGACAGTTACTGGGAACAACTGAGCTCAAAATGGGTTTGCTTCAACCTTTCCCATGAAGGGCAGTGTCTTCCCCAGTGCTGCAGCCCTCCATCACATTTCAACGCCAGTCTGGCTCAGACTGAGCTGAGGACTACAGTATCGCATCTAAGCTCCTTCTCTGTGCTCCTGGCTTCACATCCCAGGGGATGAATCACACTCTTGTTGCTGTTGAAAAGGTCAGAGCCAGCAAGAACGAAGGTGGAAGGGGGAGGCATCTTTGGCCTCTGAACCATAGAGTAGTTCTATTGGAGACTTGTGTACTGCTTTTTGAGGCCTGGGGAAACTCCTATGCAAATGCTGCCGCCCTGCTGAGATGGTACAAACAGAGGTTTAGCTCTCTGCTGGTGGCCCAGGTACAGTACAGGGAGGTGTTCAGACCAAAGGGATCAAGGAGTGGCCAGCCTGCCAAATGGTGCATTGGAAGTCTGGGTCACTGCTGCCACAGGAATTGCACTGTCCCTTGCTTTCATTTACATGTACAAGAGGACTTTAATTGGGTGGAGGTGGGGAGACATGACCCTCTGCTCTTTCCTCAGATGATTCTACAGGTTCCTGGGAAACTGCATCTGATCCCTGCACTCATCTGCCTATGTCCCTGCCAGAGCTTAGGGCACTTACACACATGCATGGAGGCTGCATCGACATGCCATAAATCAAGCGCGCCAGAGCACACTACACTAACTGAGTCTGCTGGAGCACAGGAATTAATGTTTTCCAGCAGGCTCCAGCATCATGTGTATCAGTGTTCCCACACTGAAAAATGTTAAAGGAGTTTTAGTTCAAGGTGCCCTGCCACCATTTTTTCAGTGTGCGGATGCTGATACACATGATGCTCGGGTGCTTTTAATTAGTGCAGTTCACTAATCAAAGGACCCCCACCACCTTCCAGAGCACATCTGTAAATGCCCTTAGTGTCTTGGGTGCTCAGTCCATTACCTGGCTGCTGGTGAAGTCTCCCATATCTCTCTGGGGCCAATGCAGGGCTTTTGCCAATCTCAAGGGACGGGCCTTTACATCTCCCCAGGAAACTATGTCATGTCTCACTGACGAGGAGTGTTTCCAGATATTTAGGTTGTTTTCCTCTTATTAATTTCATCTCGTTCCTCCCAGTCCAGTAAAGAATTCCTTCCTTTCTGTGGGCTTTAAATCCTTCCAAGATCTACAAGGAACCGAAATGGCTGTGCCTACGCTGCCCCTGTGGGTTTCTAACCCTAGGCATTATGGTACATGTAGATTTTACCAATAAATTGTTCAAGTAAGAGGCCATGTTCTCCTTCAGCATGGTCACACCGGAGGCCAGGCACTGGAATTTTAATTCCAGATCATCATATTCTTTGTCTTCTGTCTGCAAGTCAACAGGAGAAAGTTACATTAGGGGCCCTTGGAGGGGAGATTAGTCTACTGAGTAATCTGAGCAGGTTTGGGGGATGGACTGCATGGGAGGGACTGAATTCCAACACAAAATGGAGTGAACGCCTGCCTGATGCTAGTGGGAAGTTCTTGGAGATGGACATCCTGGTCCTATTGTAATCCATGGGACTTCAAAAGGTCCACAGTTTCACCCTGAGTATACAGGGATGGTGACAGTAGGATAGAGCTGGAGCATGGGAGGGCCTTCCACAGCCTTGGAAGAATGTATCAGTAGCTGCCTACTAGAAGAATCATGTCCTCAGAGATTGAAGGTGTTGGCTCTACCATGCTCCATGTCTTCACTGACCAATGGATCACAGAAGTGAATTTAATACTCAGCTCAGATCACCAGGCATTCCTCTGATTGGGGGCCAATGACCACAGGGAGCCACACAGAGGCTGTGTCATGGCTCATATGATAATATAGAGCACATGTCATGGAACCACAGAAATACAGAGCTAGAAGAGCCCTCAGGAAATCACCTAGTCCAACCCCTTGCTCAAGGCAGGAGCCTCTATTTCTAAACTGTCCCAGATGAATGTTTGCCTAACCTCTCCTCAGACACTTCCCATGATAGAGCTTTCACAGCCCCTCTAGGCAGTCTGTTTCACTGCTTTGCCACCCTCAAAGTTAGAAAATCCTTCCAAATATCCAACCTAAATTTCTTTTGTTGCAAGCTAAGCGAATTACTTCAGGCCCTGTCTCCTGGGGACATGGAGGACAGTTGATCACCACCCTCTTTAAACAACTCTTTTTGTGTTTTGCCTAGAAATGTAAGGTTTGAAAAGACCTCAAAAGTCATCCAGTCCAACCCCCTGCTTCAGTGACAATACCTTCCCAAACTAATACTCAGGATATGTCAGTATTGATCATATGATCTCAGCATGGGTCACTGTGACAAGGCGCTTAGCATGCCTGTCACTTTAAGAGAAGGCAGGCAGTGGGAGAAGCTGCCTGCAGGTATGGCAGGGGTCAGTTAGAGTCACCTGACCAGAAAGGGGTGGAGCTTGAAGCATATAAACCCAGGACCTAAACTGGTCCAGCAGTCCAGCCCTGAGAGCCACAGGAAGAGGAGCTCCTGGCAGCAGAGCACCAGGGTAACCTCTGAGCTGGGGAAAACAACACAGGCGGTTTGTAGAAGGGACTAAGGGGAGGCAAGGAAGTCCCAGCTGGCCCAGAAAGGAGAGAGGGGCCAGAGAGTCTGGGGATTTATAGCCCAGGAGGGGGCAAGTGTTAGCAGAGTCAGGGAGCCTGAAGGTCTCACTGGCCCAGGAGTGGAGCCAAGGCCCAGAGATGGGCCAAAAGCTCAGAAGGGCTGATGAGGCCAGGGGACCCCAGCAGTCTCAGCTAGCCTAGGAGCAGGCCCAGGGCCACAGAGAAGGGATAAAGACTGGGGGTCACAGCTGGACACCAAGGGGGACCAGTGAACTTATAGCTCATGAGAGGTGAGGACTGGAAGACCATAGGCCAGGAGGGGCATGTGTCAGCAGGAATGAGTATCATCTGTGAGGCATGGGTGTGGTGTAAGAGGTGGTTGGAGCCACCTAATAAGCACCTAGGGCAATGGGTGCCTTGAGGCACATACAGGCTGGGAGGGCCCAACTATGGACAGACTGGGTTTAGGCTAGTGGGGTCCAGGGTGAAGGAAGGATGAGGACTGGTTCTAGGAGTAACAGGCAGCTTCCCCTTCATAATCTAACTATTCCATCAAGGTGTGGCAGGGAAGAGCAAAGGGGAGGGCACCTAGAATCAGGCTGAGGCAGTGGCCATTTGACCATCAGGGGTCACCCCTGAGTCCTGGCCCTGCTACAATCACCCAGGTTTTGCACATGCTACTTACAAATATATCTTGTGGTCAATGTTAAGCCTTGTAGGCTACAGAAATTTCAGATGTGGAAAAGATGCTTTCAGAAAGTGGTCCCCAAGTCTGCTGCTGCGGGGATCTGAAATCACCTACACAGACATGCAGTCCTGTTCCTGGCAGCTGGTCCTGAGTGGGGCCTCACCTTAGGCACAATGCCAGCTTCATGCATGAAGAGCCGGCTCAGACGCATGGTCTTCTTGGCGATGGAGTGCGTGTTGAGCCGAGCGAAGCGCTCCCGTAGCGTCAGCTGCTCAGCCTTGTTGTATTTGAAAGCTGCCTCCGGTGAACAGGACAGAAGGGAGGGATATAAACAGGTCAAGAAGTCTCTGCTTTCCCCAAGGCTCCACAGCTCCTCTAGTCCTTGGTGGGGGGGGTGGCAAATGTGGCGCTGCTACCTCATATGCATGGAGGAACACAGCTGAAGATGCTGGTCACCTAATTTCTCACTCCACTGTGCATCTGCCTGAGTCTCCTTTCCTCCTGTGCTTAATCACCTGCACTATTTTGGTCTCATTTTAATTACACCATGAGGTCTGTTCCCACGTGCTTATGCACTGCCTAGATCCATGGGACCCTGATTCTTCAAGAGGTTCCTCAGTGCTACTGTGAGATAAATAATGCTAAAGAAGACTTGGAATAGTAATAAGCAATGTAAAAATAAAACCACTGCTGGAAGCATGGAAGCACTTCAGGGCCTTACCCTCATCTGCCTCATTAGCAGAAAGGGTGAGAAAACTTAAGCCGTTAATAGAGTAGCAAAGGCAGGCATAAAAGGCCAATGGTTTAAAAGCTGCCTCTTGACCAAATCTAGAACTGATACTGATGGGAGAGGGCTAGGCACTGCTGAAACACATGAAGGTTAATTTCTTAGCTGAAAAAAAGTTATTTTAAAATGGGATTTTTGAAAGCCTGATTTATTTTGTCTCATTGAAAATCACCAGTTCCTTTTGCCTGTGTCACCTCTAAGCTCTGAGAATGAAACACGCCCATTGGTTTTACTTTCTGATTCTCACCCACCAGCACTATGCTGCAGAACTTGCTTTCAATTAGTAGTAGTAATAGTAATAGTGCAACAGCAGTGCCTACAAGCTCTAGTTGAGATCAAGGCCCCATTGGGCTGGGCACTATGTGGCTGTATTGTAAGAGTGAGGACTCCTGCACTCTCACTAGACAAACAAGATGAAGGTTGAAAGGAAGGATTAGTTCACTTTGAATTAAAGCCAAACTCAAAAATGGTTTCTGCGGGGCTTATAAGAGAGCAAATGGAAGTGATTCTACTTATCTCAGGCTTTAAGACCCACAGTCACCCTGGGTATGCCTCCATTTCACCGATTCTCACTCACCTACTTCTTTGCGCCTTTTGTACTCATTGATGTTGGCGCTGACCTCCAGCATGGCATTGGTTGCGCTCTGCAGGGCAGGGTAGGCGCCATCACTGGGTGATGTGTTCTCCAGGATCTTCTGCAGCAACAGCGCATACTTGGTGACCCGCTGGACTGGCATTACCAGGAAGAAGCTCAGGTCTGAAGCACCAGTGTGAGGTCTGCAAATGAGGTGAATAGTGTGTTAAGCTGTGGGAGGGCTCCGAGCCTTTCTGCCTTTCCACTACTGAGTGAGAGAGCTCTAACATGCAGAGTCATGAAGGGGGTCTGGCAGGCAAAGTGGCCTCAGACTCAGGATTAAATGAAGAAATCCCCCCTCCAAATCAATATGGAATGTGGATTATGTCCCCCATCCCACTCCATCCTGAATGATCCCCTTGCAGGGAGGTCACGTTCCTCCACAGACATCATAAGCAGGCTGCCCTTGTTCCCCATTCCTTTGCAAATCCACAGCCAGATCCGCAGCTGCTGTAAATTGGCACCTCTTCCTCTCTCTAGCTCCCTGACAACAGTGGGGCTTTGTAGCTTTCCTCCTGTTTGGGGGAGGTTGTTTTCCCGTGCTGGGGATTTCTCAGCTATGAAGCCCTGACTTCAGCTTTCCACGGGGCTGCAGGCAGAGGACGTCAGCTGTCACCCTATGCTAAGACACTGAGATGACTCTCTGCCAGCTGCAGAGAGCAAGCAACCCAAAGGATACTGCCAGTCACAGCCTGACATCCTCGCCTCATTGAACAGTGCCACACTTGTTTAACTCATAGGCCCCAGGATTGATTCTTGTCTTGGGACAGAGAGACCGGCAGTCTGAGTAGTTGCTGTTAGCAGCATGAAGGCTGTAGCAGGTTGACAGTGTCCAGGTTCCCCCTGCAGCATGGTGGGCACTCTTCATTTAGGACATACCTTACCCGTTGCACTCCAAGAGGCATAAAAACCCACACAGCTCCTCCTCATCCACCACTGCACTCCTAAGCATCAGGACCCTTTGATGACCTAGCTAATAGGAGCTGGCAGGTCCACAGCAATCCACTTCTGCCCCCAGAGCATACAGGGGCGGGAAGGTATCTTCCCATTGATTCTGCCTGTGAGTGATGCTTTCCTGTTGGCTGGCCAGAAGCAGGGAGCAGGTGTGGGCTGTGGATGCTGTCAGCCATCAGCCCTTACAATGCTCCAAGTCTAGACAGTTGAGTTGAGGATCTAACACAAGGACAAAGCTCCAGTCCAGAGCAAGTGCAGCATGATGCAAGGGCATGTGTTTCTGACCCTTCCTTCCTGGCAAATTAACACCCTGCATCCTGCACACATGCTGGAGGGAAGAGGGATAGCCCCTAAAAGCCCATGCACCCCCCCGCCAAGGACTCCTTCTCCCTCTTTTATCCTAGGGTCCCTTGCTGTCCAGCAGGGGTAAGGTATGTCACCCCCTGGAGCCTGTCACTGCTGCTCCCTACTCAGCCACGGGCCTCAACAGCTGCCTGAGGTGGCCACAAGCCATCTCCCCCTTGGCCTAAGATGGCCACGAGCCATCTCCACCCCTTATCTCAGCTCGCCCACTGAAGCAGAATGTCTGATTCGATCTCACTCAGCGAGGTCTTCTGCAGGTGCTGGGAATACCCCATAAATCACTAACCAGTCCCTACTGTGCCCCCTACTGAGCCTCACAGCAACTAGCATCCAGGATTCTGGGACTCGGAGCAGGACATCAACGGGCTAAATGAGGTCATGGCATGAAGGTGGTTGCTAACCCTCATTTCATGATATACGATCCAGCTGGTTGAAGGCATCCCCCACTTCCAGCTGCTTCTTCAGGGACCATCTATTAAGAGGACAGGGATGTCCAGCTGGCTGCATGAAAGCAGTGTGCTTCCATGTTCAGTCCATCATGGACCACCAGTGCACAGCACTGAGCCTTCTCAGGAACAACTACTTACACCATTGTATTCAGGGTGTCTAGGATCTCCTGCTGCAACCGTGGGTCTTTCCTGTAACTTTCCACAAGCAACAGGGCCTGCTCGTAGCTGGCACAGTAGACCTTATAGACGCTCTCCAGCTTTTCCTTGAACTCCTGAAACACGGCACCTGGTGCAGAGAGAGAGAGGGAGAGTAGTGGTAGAAAGCCAGTCCCTCTCATGAGGGATGGATTCTCCCAGCATACATGGTGCCATGTAATAATCAGCCTCCTTGTGGGCAGAGTCAAAGAGTAGGGAAAGACTGAGTGGACCTGGTGACCAAGGTAATCTCTCAGCTGAAGTTTAGGCCCACCAGCCAGGGACAGTACAGAGAAAGCACACAGTGCCTTTGAACTTGGAGTGGGCTGGAGGTCTCCTCATTCTCTAAAAGAGTAATGGAGGGAGTTCAGAAAGCCTTCCCCTCCTCCCCCAACCAGCTGGAAATTTGGTTGTGGGGACCTGAGCAAACGACAAAATGGCACTAGGCCTGCCACTTGCCAAGTATGACCCAACAACACACATCACTGCCCCTCAGGCCCTTTCTGACTGGGCGATGTCACTTCTTACTCTGTTTTTTCCTCATTTCCATGGCTAGGGCAGCGCTGATCTCCTATGTGATGTGGTTTGTGCCCTGCAGAGCTAGTGTCTCCACAATTTCATGGAGTTAATTGAATAGATGGTAGTGTTTAATACACAGGACCCAGCAATCCCTTCCCATCTGGCTCTGGATTTTACGGGGGAAGCAGGTGGACTCTGGTGAGTGGCATGGAGCTTGCTCCAGAGGGACACGCTATTGGTGGAGGCTGCCAGAATCACATTAGCTCTGCCACACTTAATACTGAGGAGCAAGAGTGCTGAGAAAAGTGTGTGTGTGTGTGTGTAAGGTGGGGGGGGGCAGGAGATGGACTGTGGCTGCTCAGATGAAGCCAGCCCTCTTCCCCCTGCTGCTGCTGTTGGGACCTGGGGTGTCTGTTTAGTCTCAGGATGGCACATGGGATGTCACTGCCACCTTCACACTTACTGATCTGGTTCAGCTGCTCAGTGTGGCTGCCTGCAGCCTCTAGCCTTTTCAGGAAACATCTGGAGACATGCAGGACATCATCAATGTTTGAGAAAAGCCCTTCCAGGTCTAGATCAGGCAGCTGAAAGGAAAATGAGTCATCAGCATGAACTCAGCTCCAGACTACGCTCCCTTTTTAGGAATGACAGGCAGGTGGGGTGAATGCCCTTCAGGATAGCCTCTCAGGACTGGCTGGATGGAAAACGGTGATTTGGCATCCCAGAGTATCAAAACTGAGCCCTCTTCTCCTAAGGAATAAAAATGGGGCCTTGCAACAACCAGAGAACTTCAGTCCACAAGCTCCACCTGCTGTGGGGCAGAGACTTGAAATGGAGCCTCCCACATCCCATGATATGACGCTGTGCCAGGTTGTTGAGAATCCTTCCCTCTCTCATTGTTCTGCTGCAGGAACAAAGTTGCCATCAAAGCCAAGGCAAGTGACCTGGAGAAGGATGCCTTGAATTCAAATGCCTGCGTAAGTCCATCCCAACCATGCAGTTGGTCCAATGAAAAACGTTGCCCACAAAAATCTTTGCCTCTCAGATCAAAGCCAATACATTTTTACACAACTGCTTGGTTCAGACAAAATAGCAGGTTTTGTTAAAAATATTCTAGACTGAGCACACTGTCTCCATGGCTTTCCCTTACCTATACCCAAGCACCACAGCTGCAGAGCCAGGAATCAAAGCCACACATGCTCGTTCACAGTTTGCACAGAGATGTGTGTTGTGTGCACATCACTGAATGTCTGTGCTCATGAGAGCAGCCAGGGGTAACTTTAGGGGATAGTTTGGGGAGATTTGTCCCTTGGTGTTGTAGCATAATTTAATGGGGCAAAACTTCACTGGGATGACTGTCATTCTTCATGTATCATGCTTGGAAGGGTTTTAGGCCAACCAAGGGCACACGTTTAGGAAGGGGGTGGGTTCCTTTGGGCTTGGACATCAATCTTCCAGAACTGGTTAGGGACATGTCTGCTTTGTCTGCTGTGGAAGAGGCTGCTTAAAGGGCCTTTGTGTGTGTTATGTCAAGGTTTTCAACTTTTTTTTAACAAGCATACCCCTTCATAGGCAGTGGAAGGTGGAGGGGGACTAACGGGGCTTAGCCCCGCATAATGTGGGGCAGAGGTAGGGCCGCAAGGCAGCCTGGCTGTGGGCTTCTGGCAGCTGCAGCAGAGGTGGGGAGGAGAGTGAGTACAGCAATGAGGGAGGGAGTGGGAGTGGGGCTGGGGGAGGGGCAGGCATTGCCCAGCCAGGGTGGGGCAGAACACGGGACTGAGCCATGAGCAGCTCGTCTGGGGGGTGCAGCTCCTGCTGCTATGCGAA